GTTCTGGGCATTTTTCATCGACATCTACGTTTTTAGCTAAAGAAACTGCTTCACTATACCATTTACCATGATATAAATCAACATCATTCCTCAATAAAATTCCCAAGTTTTTTAATGACTCAATTAAATGCATTCCATCCATAACATCACAGGTTTTAGCTTGTAATAACTGAGTAACAGGAAGTGTTAAATCTAAAATATTTCTACTAATGACAAGGCTAACAATAAATCTGAAGGTGGAAATCAATGCTAGGAAAGAAGAAGCTTTAGAAGATGTTTCTGGATTACACACATGACCAGCATTATGGCTCATTTCAGTTAAAGTATGAAAAATTGGAAGGAATAATTCTTGAAATATATCTAGACCATCTATTCGCTCAATCCATCGAGTTCGACAAACATCCTTTAACTTTGATTTACCTGAATGTGGGCAATAGTCTTCAACTGCTTTTGAAAGTAACATTTGCCGTCCATCAGAGAGATTGAAAAAGTAAGAAAGTTCTTTAATTTGACTAAAAACATTTCTGACAAAAAGGGACAGAACATGAATTACATATTGCAAGATTTAACCTATGGCTGTAACAGTGGGTGTAGATTGCTTTAGAATTCAAACGAAGAATGCGTGCAGAAAGACCATTGATATGCCCTGCAACAGCCCCAGCTCCATCATATCCCTGACCTCTGCAATCCTCAATGCTTAATTTTAGTTCTGTTAATGCACTGTGAATTAATTTCTCAAGACTTTCCCCTGATAAACCCCATTTGCAGTGCAAAAAACCTCACAAAATCTTCTCTAACATTCCTATTGCTATCTACAAAACGAATCACAAGAGAAAGCTGCTCTTTGTTTGCAGAATCTGCTGCTTCATCAGCAATTATACTAAAAAATTTATTTATTTTTATTTCACTAGTTATTTTTTCAGTGATAACCTGTCCACAAGCAGCAATTAGATCATTTTGAGTAGTCTTTGAAATATAAGAAGCATTCTTTGGACAGTTTTCAAATGATCAGCTAAAACTGTGTCACCAGCCCGAACACGAAAATTTAACAATTCAACATAGTTACCAACACCACCTTTTGAGTAAGAACCAACCTCCGGATGATATGAAGAATCATCACGGTGCCCTCTTAATGCTAACCCAAGTCTACCACAAAGTTTAATAGTATCAATTATTGATACAAGTTTTTCCCTATTTTGCCTGATGACTTGCTGTTTGTGCTCATCAATCAACACCTCAATCTGCAGTCCTTCTCCTGATGCCTGACCAACTAATGACAAATATTTATTACGTGTGCTTTCGTGCAAACCTGCTCTGGTGAGAGCCTTAGAACTCAAACCAATATGGCGTTTGAAGCAAGCTTTAGCATCAGGCCAATATGTCATTGGTTCACTAAAAAGTTTTTTAATTTTTGTATTTTTATTCGGAAACTGATCACCAAACAAAACACAAGGCAGACAAAAAGCACCATCCAAAGAAGGGGAGTAACACAACCAAGAATAATCTTCCAGCCACGAATAAAGAAAAGATCGACCATCAGCTGATTTAGGAAATGGGTAGGATCTATTCGGTTTAAAAACATTGTGAATGAGCTGGAGCTTTTGAGAATCATTCATATTTCTAGCTTTTTCTCTAAAATATCTCACATCATTTGGATATTGCTGTGAAAAATCTAATGAAAATGATTGCAAAAGTTCTTGTTTTGGGTTATGTATTAAACCAAGACTAGTGATGGCAGGCACCTTTTGTGTTGATTGTGTTTGTGTAGTACTAAATAATTTGGGCAAAATAAATTGTTTAGCCTTATTACTTGCTGGGGTTGAAACTGGTTGAAAAAAATTAGAAATGTTAACAGTAGAAGACTCTCCTTTCACATGAGGAATTTTCTTGTTAGCTTTTTCTAACAAAGCAGAAGCCTTTCTTTTAGTTTTACTGATAGGTTTGAAAATAAGAGGTGCAAAGTGATTTGGCTTAAAGACTTTACTAGAAGTCAATAGAGTTGTAGAACAAAACAAGAGGTATAAATAGTTATATTGAGTAGGTGGTGTTGGTAAAGGAAGACGAGGTGAAATAATTTGGTTGAATAACAACTTAAAAGAAACTTCTCCACAATCAGGATACATCAAAGAAATGATTCTATTAGTAACTGAGGAGAGAGCAAGTATACACAAAAACTACCCCAAATTTTATCTCTACAGTTGCAAAGAGCTTCCATTTTAACAAGATCAAGCCCTGATAAACGTGAATCCACACTTTCAAAACAACAGGACATAGCCAAAACATTTTTTGCACTAACAGAGACCTTGTCACCATGCTTCTCTAAGGTGGAAGTGAATATTGGATGATAACAATAATAATTTGCATATATAAAAAGCTCTATAGATACCATAGCTCTCAAAGTGTGAATGAGAGCATTGCTTCCAACCAAGGCCAGAGAAGCAGAGCTGTATAGACAATTTCCAGATGGTTCAGATCTAATAAAACAGCAGTCGAAAGATTTCTTGATTATTATAAGACTGCAACAATTTATGCAATGTCAACAAAGCGAGTTAAAAGCGATCATTTCAACAACAATGAAATGACAACAAATCGGCAGTTTTGGTCTTAACGTGTCATAACAACTACGCAATTAGGCTTATATTCATTTCTACTTATCTTAATTTAACTAATTTTACCTTAGAGCAACCGATGGCTTCGTATTGTCGGCCTTCACATGATGAGGCAAATAGACTGTCTCAGCATTTACATCACGATACAAAGATCGTCCAATTAAAGGAAAATGCTCTTCAGGCATTAAGAAACGAGAAGAATTATATATACCACATAATTCCTCAAAGGTCTTAAGCAAAGCAACATCATCACTTTTTTAAGTCAGAGAGAACCCGATCTAAAATACTGCTAGAGTTAGCCATGACGATCGATAAATATTCAAGCGCAATGAAGCAGACAAATATATTCCGACTAAGTTCGCTACAACAACCAATCAAATCCGAAGATTCGGCAACATCATATACCAAAATAGATATATCCTGCAAAAAACTAACAATGTTGACCAATCACAAGCTTTAAATTGGTATAGATCCTGCAAGAAATCTCCACCAATTACAGCTATATAGCTGGTTCGTCTGGGCAAATCAGAATCACAGAATGAACATAGATCCTGCAGATCATGCACGATACGCTAACCAATGAATGCTCGCAAATTGATCAATTTAAACCAATCAAAATCGGTATATGGACCCAAATCCTGCGGAAATTTTAAAGCACTCAAGTGTTATAATTTAAGGAATACCCACGGAATTTTTTGAAAGTGACACGTTAATACGTTAGTCGCCCGACTTAGTTGACTAAGTTTAAATCCGCCTCTGAGGCCATCGTCACGGTATAAGCCGACGTTGTTTCCGTACCGCTGCTGTAGTTGGTCAAGTAAGAATAGCCCTACAAGCTCGCAAACTTCCGCTCCATCATAGCTGCCCATGGTTACATCAAACGTGTTGGTAGCGTTGCGTTTGGACCATGATTTGTTTTGGTGGAAAAGAAGTGATTTTCTTGCGTGTTTTATAATGGTGTGGTCTTTTTCTGTGATTGTTGTGTATTGTTTTGCCCACGCTAGGCATTTGTCCAGTAGGTGTTTGGTGATCGATGGGTAAAAGTCAACTATAGCGAATGATATGAATGATTTTCTTTGTTTTTTGGTGATGGATTTGAACCAAGTGATAGCATCTGTTGTGTTGCGCCATTGGTTTAGTTTTAGTTCGTTTCGTATTATGTTGTTGATGTTGTCTAGGATGTATTTGCTGACTTTTCCGAGGTGGCTTTTTGCGGGGTTGATGCCCCGCAACCACGCAAAAACCCCGCAAAACCGCACCCGCAACCCCGCAACCCCGCAAAATGCCACCTCGGAAAATTCAGCAAATACATCCTAGACAACATCAACAACATAATACGAAACGACCTAAAGTAAACCAATGGCGCAACACTGTAGATCTTATCACTATTCAAATCCATCACCGAAAACAAAGAAAATCATTCATATCATCGACATAGTTGACTTTACCATCGATCACCGAACACCTACTGGACAAATGCAGCGGCAAAACAATACACAACAATCACGCGTTTCACTTCATATAAAACACGCAAGAAAATCACTTCTTTCACAAAACAAATCATGGTCAAACCAACGCTACCAACACGTTTGATATAATAGTATGCTGATGGAGCGAGCTACAGCTTCAAACTATTACTCGGACCAACTGACGATGGCAGTCATAAATACGAAATCTGGAAGACTCTGCGACAAAGAAAGAAACACCCTCTCACACCTATTTGACGAGCTTGGACTAAAAATCACAGCGATGACAAACCATGAACGCACAAACTTCCTTGACGTAACATTTGACCTTAACATTTTAAATGTATATCTATTTATACGATCCATATTTACAGACTCTCCATTCAAACCCACTTTATCGCTTAAAGGACACATGCAACATAAAATTCGGATTGTTATTTTTGTACTTTACATAAAGGTATAGCTCCAACTAATAGTTCGACAAAGTTTGAGACTCAAAGGATAAATATTTTTTAAGATATGGAGGTTTAAAGTTGATGCTTTACTGATAACGTATTGAAAATGCCCGACGAGCTAACGACGGCTACCGATTGGAAAAAGGTCGTTGTGACGTAATAGTTGACATTAGCTAAACGCGGTCAATTGCGCGCTTCGTTCAAAATATATTGGTAACTTCTTAACAACACGACAATTTAGCATTGAAAATATGGTTTATTGTGCCGCATTTAATTGTAAAAACGGTTCCTCAAAAACCACCAAACGTAGCAAAAGCTTTCTTTTTTTCGTTGACAAGCGCATGCGAGATATTTGGATGAAATAACTCGAAAACAAGCGCATGCGAGATATTTGGATTGAAAAAATGTGACGCAAAAATTTGAAGCCAACAAAGAGCTCAAAATTGTACTTGCAGCATTTCGAAAGTTCGTGTTTCGTGCAAAATTTTGAAGCGATGCAATCAGTAGGATGGACAGCAGGACGGCTTCGCCTTAAGAAGGATACTGTATCCACGATTTTTTAATAATCTGTGGAACCCACAAGTGTAACATCTAAAAGGAAGCAGCCAACAAATGTTAGAACTGCATTTGAGAAAAGACGAAGGCAAGAGGTGATTATTATAGTTATAGTTAGCAATATTTGTTTACATTTATCAAAAACTAAGCCATATAGCATTACCAAATTGAGGACAATTTTATAATTTTAGATTATTGACGACGTTCTTGCAGAATACGACGACTTTCTTGTAGGCGACGACCACGATGTGTCGACATCGTCTCGAAATGTTTGTGCGTTTTACCTCAAAGGAAGTTTGTCTAAGATAAAGATGTCAAAATATATGTAGACAGCGAAACACAAACATATGCAGTGCTAACTAATTCAGACTAATGTCGTTTGATCTTTTTTTTGTTATTTTAACTCATAGAAAATTCCTTAACGTACCTTAGAAGCGCAATGTGAAATGCCAAGCAGCCATAAAAATCCGTCCGCAAAAACACGGAAGGTCAAGAACCACTCAAACAAAAGTGCCAAATATGATAAGTAGAGGTATAGACTTTCGATTTCAGTCGTTTTGATTTTTGTGAAAAATCCAGCAATACGATAATTTCATTTAAAGGTTGAGATAATTTAAACAAAAAATCATAGCACACAGACGACGTCATGTGAAATTGAACATTTTGAGGATAGCGCTGTATGGTATGACACAGAAAGCACGTCGACGATGAGCAATAGCTACAATGGATCAGACTCTCACTCGTTTTCTTCACTCTCAGGCATAGGTCCAATGCCATGTGTGTACATGACGATAGCTGTTTTTACGACAGCTTCGTTTGTACACACTGTACCAAACTCTTCCTCTTGTGTGATACAAATATGATCGCCATGTATCAGAGGATCAGTATTGTTTACCTCTTGGCAACATATACTTTCCCTTCCTGTACTCATGACCACACATAAGCCAAACTCGCACCTAAAAGATAAAAACATTGTTTTTACTTTGGAAAAAACAATGAAGCATAAATAAAATGCAACTAACCATTCAACATTTCCAATTCTGCGAATGTATTTATCTTCGCTTTCCGATGACGGAGAATTGTCATCATTATGACCACCTTACGCGTTGGCCAAAAGCTCAAACATGTAAGGTTGTACCTCATTGTTATTGACGACAATATCATAATCGGCATCTTCTTCAGAAGAATCCATTAATTTTTGATAAATAAAAAACAGTAATAGCAAACTACCAAAAGCCGTGCAAGTCGTAGAACGATATAAGAACGATGCTTGTTTATGTCAACTAATACGTCACTCTTTCCCAGTTCCCAGACTTAAACAACCTCACGGCGTTTTAGCAATGGTCATCGAATATCGTGTTTTTACCGATTATAACCCTAAATATCTTTTGAAATATTTTGTGGACGACTTTGACACTTGGTACGTCTTATTTTCACGCTACAGGCATTACAATAAAATAAAGTTGTCTTCTAGCTTGCATGTGTCCTTTAACACACAAAATCTCACCACATTGTCATCAATTATCATCACACTTTGTAACCTAACACTCTGTGAATATTGTATCGTTGGTATTTATGTTTTCAAAATTCCTATGTATAATGATATATTTCTTAATTTAAAGACGAAACGTTACTATTAATAAAATCCTCTATCTATGGCTTTATTGAAAGTTCAATGTCGGGCGACAACATTTATATAAAGAAATGTAGAGAAGCCGACCTTGATTCGATATTGATAATACAACGTCGATTCGATTTGCGTTTTCGACGTTTTATCGAAGTCGATTCGACGACAGTTTCGACGCCGATACGAAGTCAATTTGCCCACTGGGAAACGACACAACAAACTCCAAAAAAATTACAAAAATGAAGATCATGCAAACGACTCTTCTCAACACAAACGAATGGGTCACTAACATCTCGAGCAAACAACTAACCGAACAGCAAAATAAAATTATAAAGAAGACCTAAATTACAACTCCAAAGATGCAAACAAAGTAGACTGCGTTACTGACCTAGAATCTACTTTAAAATACACTAACTTAACGGACTAAAGGAAAGAAGACATTCGTCATAAAATCACCATTAACCTCTGCCAAACACCACAAGTTACACAAAACAAAAAAAAACTGAGAGGAATAAAAAATCTATAAAACGACAACCAAATAATAATATTACGAGCTGAAAAAAGACGCAAAACTGTTATCATGGAAAGTGTCACAATACATCGACAAGGCCAAACCCTCCTAAAAGACACCACCACCCACGAACCTCTCAACGCAGATGTGTAAATAGAACGTTAATTGGGGGGAGGGTGTATATTCATATATTCAGTTGTGCCCTTATGATTTCATTTCAAATTGAAATCACTTTCAAAAGAAATCAGTTGGGCACAACGGAATATATGAATATGCACTCCCCATATTAACGTCCTAGTTACGCCTCTGTCTCCACGTAGACCCCAACAAAACGACCACTAACAGCATTAAACAGAAATTTAAACAACTCAAACAACAAAAGAAACTGACCGAAAACGACTACAGAAGAATTCGACCCAATGACGCATCCACCGCAAAATTCTACGAACTACCAAAAATGAACAAAAAAAACAACCCGCTTTGACCTATTTTATTGCTTTCAGGATCACCTACGTATAAGGTTTCAAAACATCTCTCTAACATTGTCCATCCACTAGTCAAAAATTCAACTTACACCACCATAAAGGCCACAACCTTCCTCGCCATCATTGACAACATTAAATTACGACCAGACAAAACCATAATATCCTACGACGTGATATCACTCTTCACATCAACACCACTAGACATAGCCAAACAAATTACAAACAAACTACTCACAAACGACAAAACTAGGCAAGCTAAAACAAAACTGGACAAAAAGGACATTCTAGACTTACTCAACATTTGCCTCTCTACTGAATTCTCTTTCAAAAACACATACTACAGACAAATTTCAGGCACACTAATGCGGTCACCATTATCCACCTTCCTCGCAGGAGCTGTCACGCATTACCTGGAAACACAATCAGTCACAAACAACACAAATATCAGACTATGAAAAGATATGTCGACGACATCTTTGCCTTATTCAAGAAAGACAAAACTGAACTAATCCCCTACACCATAAGCAATACCACAAAGAACATAAGCTTCACTAAACACGAAGAGTATGACAGGCAATTAACTTACTTTCCTCGACATCCTATTGACCAAAACAGATAACGGTACACTAAACACACAAGTATACTGCAAAACAACCCACACAGACCAATACTTGATTTCAACAGAACAGTTCAAAATACTCAGTTACCTAAATGATTTTTGTTTGTTTTTTAGTTTGTATTTGTGGAAGTACTTTTTTAGCAGTCATCAATTCTCTACCTTATTTTGCAAGACAAAGAAACTGACTTTCAATATGGAATAAGTAAAGTTGAGAGCTTTTTAAGAAGTGGGACTCCAGCTAGTAAATATGAATGCAGACATAGCAACAACTTAGTGTATTTGAAGTTCTTCATTCAAATACATGTATGCTTTCTGAACATAATTAAGATATGGAGTGGCTTAGAGTTTTAGATCTTGAAACTCCAAGAGTTTTCATGAATTGAAGGTAGTCCTTCAGAGAAAATTATTCAACTGAAGGAGAGGTATAGTGGTTTTGATATAAATAATGCTCGTCAGCCAGCTTGGTTTTTTATCTAGGGATAAAGTTTTCAAAAATTTCATGTGCAGGATTACTGAAATATATGTTTTGAGTTCTATCTTCAATCTAAAATATGAAGTCGCAAAGTTGATGAAGATGAATGATGTTATGTGGCAGGAAGTGCATCCGTTGAAAGATCACTCTCTTTTTAAAGAAAGTGATGAGTTATTTAAGAAATACCATGGAGTCAATGTTGTCTAAGTCTTTTGCAGGATTTTACATAAAGACATATTATCAACATAAAACCAACTTCATAAGATTCTCACAAGACTTTCAAAAGTTCGCTTTCCCATCGTAATAATGAAATGTAGCGGCGAGGTGCCAATGTAGTAAACAAAAAGCTGCGATCACAAGTGAAAACTATGTCTTTTATTGGAAACAGCTCAACCGGATTGTGGTAATGTGCAGTTGGTTGCAGAAATGTCTGACAGTAAAATAGATTACTGTAATGCGCCATTACTTTAGAATTGTCGGAAAATGCAGCTGCTATAATGTGCCGTTGTGCAAAACCAACTGAAATAAACTAGCTTTTTAACAATTTTATCAAAAAATCACATGATACCTGTACGACGTCGACGCATCTATCATACTTCAGTTTTCACTACTTTGACAGGACTGCATTATTACGCATACCATACAGACAGATATGCAACCAAACACGTTGTTTCAAAAAACACTTGTTGAAATATAGTGTTTCTTTCTTGACATGAAAAAATTGACGTGCGAGAAAAAAATTTGACGTATGAGACGAAAAAATTGATGTGCGAGAAAGGCAAGAAAAAATTTCTTATCCGAAAAAAATGATGGTTGAGTTCGTACCCAGTCCATTGAACAAATACAGAACTGCAAATGCCACCATTTTGATTTTTATGCATCCTCCGTTAGAATTATAATCAAAACATTGAACTAAATATTTATTTATTTCCATCTATTTTAGTTCAATGAATCAAAATGGATGATGGCGAAGATGAATTAAGAGAATTTTTTTGAACTTTAATTGAAATCTTGCCAAAGTTGACAAGCTACGAATTAAGAGGTTCCATTCAGTTAGAAATCTGCGAGAGGAAAGTTGGAGATAGCCTTTGAGTAATTGTAGAATTTTGCTCTGATTTGCGTGAACCGGATAAGGAATTTACGCTGAGAATTTGCTTTAGCAACTAGTCGACATTTTAAAGAAAAAGCTGCGTATAATTAGAGACAATTGAAGCGGTTTAGATAACACGTAATTCACTGACATATTCTGGGCGTGTCTCAAAGTACCGGATTAAGACCTGCATAACCTATCGCAAAATCTTAAATTTTGCAACTCCGTGAAACAGGGATTAAATAAAGAGCGATTGCAAAACTTCTATGGATACGTGACAGCACTTTGTATCGCTGTAGGTTAGAGTTGAATATTTCTGAGACATCTGCATCTATGGAAGACAATGTTCTGGACTGCCTTATAAGTAATATTTTAAAATCAGCACCTTACAGTGGTGAAACCTATATTTAAGGGGATCTAAAATGCAGAAGAATCAATATTCAAAGAGCTAGAATTAGAGAGAGTCTCATTGGTGTAGACCCTGTTGGAAGGGCTATAAGACAGCGAAACCAATTGTCAAAACAGTTTACAATGTAAAAACCCCAAATCACTTGTGGCACATCGACTGTAATCATAAACTTATATCTTGGTGCATTGTTATACACGGCTACATTGATGGTTTTAGCCAGGCCTTTATTTACGTTCAATGTTGTACCAACAATAA